GGGATATGTTTTTTGTAGAAAAGTAATAAAATATAATATAATATTTTTCTTCCGTAATGTAGTATGTATAGATCTGCGAGTTAATATTTAGAAACAAAATATTTTTACACTGAATCATAAGTATTGTAATGTGTTACTAATAATGTTTACGATTTCATAGTAATGATATTAAGGACGTTTTAACTCTGATGTATAGCGGTTTTTCACAATCAATAGATCTCGTCACTTCGATTTATCCTTATCTTAGTAAATGTATGAATCAATCGGTTGAACATTCGATTGCATCAAATTTATGTTTATTTTGATCATTCAATCGTTTATTTTTTTGAGGCAACCCTACAAAAATTTATGTAATTATGTACCATTAGACCTTTGTGTGCCTTTTTTATTATTATGTGCCTTTAAAATGGCTAAAATTACGAAAGGAACTTCCTAGTTCCTTTCCTTTGGTCATTGGACGAATTTAGTTGTGAGTGGAACCGACCACAGAACCAGTTTTCGGTACGCACATCATATCCTTTTACGGGGGATGCTACTTTTGCAGGTAATGATTTATGTTTTACTTCAAAAAAGAGAAAATTAAACAGTATCGCTGAAGCATTGCAATAATACTGAAAGTAATAAATGAAACTGTGTTTATTTTGAGTGGATTTATCGCGTTTATTTTTACTTCCCGATGTTTAGAAACTTTTCAGTGTTTATGGTTACGGGATAAACTTAGGCATTGAGCGACTGTTAGCCCAGGCTGTCGTCAGTTTGGACGCCTCTTGCCTAATGTGGGGGGACCAGGGTCGGTCTGCCGCCGCCTGTACATGGGGGTCATCAGATCGATGGCCCTCTACGGAGCTCCTGTGTGGGTGGATGCCTTGAGTGCCCCGAATAGAGCGTTGCTGCGACGACCGCAGCGCGCTATGGCACTCAGGGCTATACGCGGCTACCGCACAGTGGCCGGCGAGGCGGCGTGTGCTTTGGCGGGATCCCCACCATGGGACTTAGAGGCTAAAGTCCTCGCGGAGGTATATCGCCGAGTCGCTGAGGCGAAGGGGTGCGGCGATAACGTTTCCACCGAACGAATCGCAAGGTGGCGACGCCAGGCGCGCGTCATTTTGATGCGCACCTGGCAGGAACGTTTGGCGGCTCCCACTGCCGGACATAGAGTGGCACAGGCCATCAGGCCTGTCCTGGAGAAGTGGATCGGTTCCCGAAATGGCAGTTTGTCACTCCGGATGGTGCAGGTGATGACTGGGCATGGATGCTTCGGTCATTACCTGCACGCTATCGGGAGGGAACCGAGCCGAAGGTGCCACCATTGTGCCTGCGCCGACGATACGGCGCAGCACACGAATGCCCGGCGTGGGAGGAGCCGCGAGGGCGGCTCCGTGACGTCGTCGGGTCGAATCTCTCGCTGCCGGCCATCTTTAGAGCAATGGTCGACTGCAGGGCGGCGTGGAAGGCGATGGCCTCCTTCTGCGAGACAGTCGTCTTACAGAAGGAGGCCGCCGAAAGGGAGAGGGAGGAGAATGCTTCTTCCGACCCGATCCGGCGACGTCGCTTGGGGAGAAGGCGGGCGGCACACGAGCGCCGTCTCCCGCCCTAATGGGCCTCCGGGTGACAGACGTGGGGACGTCTGTCACCTAACGGTATGAGGCCCCGCGACGTCTAAGTGCCCACTGGTGTCATGGGCACTCATGCGGAGGACGGGGACAAAAGTCCCTTCGTGGTGTGCCCCAGCCCTGTGCAGGGTCGGGGTAGCCGTGGCTGGGTTGCAGCAGAATCGCTTAAGCGGGCCCTGCAATCCAGCATTTGACGGCAGAGGAGGATACCCGATGGGTTTTAGTTGGTAGGTCTGCCCTCCTCAGAGCGGGAGTCCAACATAACTCTCCTTGCTTCCCTTAAGGAGAGTATGCATGATGCATTTCCCATCGTTAAAAAAAAAAAAAAAAAGGCTGTCGTCAGTTTACGCAGTGTCCGATCTACGCAGATGGTGCTAACTGTGTCTTGTCTTGCAGTAGTGGTTTGTTTGTGCCTAGAATTATTTTATTGGTGATATGATCCCAAGCTGATGGTAGCACCCAGCCCTCTTCTATCTCTATTGAAATTAGGGTCTTTAGTAGCCTTTGAAATCATCTTTGAGTAGAATCGGTGTTAATCGCGCGAATACAAAAAAATATCATACTAAATGTAGTTATTTCTCACGTCATTAGCTTCTTCATTATGCTTTTAGTTATACTTACAATTCTTTTTTTTTTTTAACATTGCCCTTACTTTAGGATAACATTATCCTGTGTTGTAAGGTCGATTTACAAACATAAATTTCACGTGGACAAACATCCAGATGCGAAACAATTGTCTGTGGACGCCGAAGCCAATAATACCCGTGCAACTGCGCCACGGAGTCCTCAAATCAAAAGAAGCCTTCCATCATCAACAAGGACGTAAACATTTTCAAACAACACAGCACCACATCTCTTCGTGTTGGATAGACCTTCAGTTACTTTACAATAACTAATTGAATTATGAAAAAAATAATAAATCAGTATGACGTTGCATAAACATACAAAATTTGTAATCAGACCGAGACGAACAATTTATCTGATAACAAAGTAATAATGTATGTCATAAAATACATTTTACTCACCTAACGCTGTACCTCTTACATCTTATAATGTTTGCATATTTATTTATTTTGTGAAAAGTTGCCAAGCGGGCAGGCGGTTCACCTGATGTTAAGTGAACCTTTTGAAAATTGGCCTCCGGCTACCTCAGTCACCAGACAAACGCGAAAATATTACACTTCCACTTTACGCCGGTCTTCTGTGAGGTTGTGATACTTACCCGGACGAGCCTGCCCACTCGTGCAACAGCCGAGGCTGCTGCGTGACCACAGTAATTTAATTCAATAATATGTAATAAAAGATGCATTGATGAGGCATTGACAATAGAAGGTTGGTGAATATTCTGCAACACGATTAATATAAGCTCTATTTCATATTTAAAGTTAAGAAAAATTATCAAAAAACCAAACCCTTTTTTTTAAATAGAGATACAATGTCAAATAACTAAGCCGACGGTTGTCTATCCTACTTTCCTTGAATTTGAGCCAGACACCATGATATTTAGCATTTTAAAAACTTCTATAACTTACATCGCAAGTTTCAAAAAGGCCAAACAAATTTGACTGTAACTACAATAATCTCTATGCAATGTTTATACATATTTGTATTTTACTGCTAATAACCTCAGTTATAAAAATAAAACACAGACAAAAAAGTCATTCTGAACAGACAAAATTTTATTAGGACGTAGAAAATTTCAAAGTGAACATGTTTATTGGTTACCGTGAAATTTTAAATACTTCTAAATACACAAATTTATTTCTTTCAAACAATTTTTCACTTAACAAATACTACCGATATAGCTTTCGAATATATATCTTGTGCCTAAACTTTTGAGATCATCCAACTGGCGAATTTTATTCGGGACTTCCATTCCGTGTTTATTACAACATGAATCATTATAACCAAATATTTATAAAAGCATTCATTGTTACGGGATGGAGTCTTCGGCCATAAATACTGCAAAGCATTTGTAATGATATGATTTTTGAACTAAAAAATCCATATAAATCGTTACATGTAATAATGTGAAATGTCGAAAATTTTTAACAATAATACCATTAAATCCAATAAGATATCGTGTTGATTAATTAAGCAAGACATGATTTTACAAATTGAAATGATTCTAAGTTTAATGTTTGAGATTATTTAAGGTAAAAATTATATAAATAGGAGAAGAAGAAGTATATGTAGCGTAGAGGAATGATGACTTTAAATTCAGAACAGGAAATGACACTGTTCATTTTATCATCAATACCTTACAACAGGTTAGCAAGTTAATGTTGTTATTCCACTTATTTTTTGGGTATTTGATATCGTAATATGATCGTATATTATTTATTTTACTGGTATTAAAATCGCACATGTGATTTTTATGGTTCCTGAAAAATACTCTATACAAACCAAAAAGTGGTGTCTACGAATGAAATAAATAGTAAAGTTCGTAGAACCTATGACAAAAGTACGCTAGATTAAAATAACAATATAGGTTTAAAGAAATATAATAAGAATTATCCTAAATTAATCCAGACGCTGTCTGATCATATAAAAATATTTTGGTAGCCTACTTACGATATTACAATTTTTTATTTTATTATATTAAGTTAAACATCAAAATGTTCAAAAATAAATTAAGCTAGTTTAAAAGTGCTTACTTCTAATTTATGTAAAACTGTTTGGTGTTCTTATTCTTATACATATAAAGCATATACAAATGAAAGCAAACGCATGTTTGGTTAAGTCCAAACTTTCAGTTGTTACTTAAACTCATTTCACTCAATAAATCTTTCCGTCCATGTACAGTAGATTTTATATACTATACTAGTTTTATTAATTTAAATCGATCAGATCAGGACTCCGATTTCAATATAGAAAGGAGAAACGTTGAGTTAAGTAATAATTAGGTTGAAATATCAACATAACCATTACTTACGTAAAGTAATCATAATCATTACATACGAATCGTGCTTTAAGTTTGCCAAGGTACTATCATTGCGTGACATGCAGACTTCGTAAGATGAGTCATCAATTCTGAAATTTCATATAAACATCCTACGTTAAAAGCGTATTAAATCGTGTGAAACGCGAAAACTCAAATTTATAACATTTATTATCACATCTTAAAAGTAACGTGTCAGTCATGGCATTAAAAAACATTCATAGAAATTATGTATTGGGCAGTTTATTACATGTCACATAATAATCGATTAATTTCATCATAACATAAAATTATTCCCAAATTATGGTCGAATATGAAACTGGTAATGCGAAAATGGTTGAAATGAATAAAAAAAATAAAAATAGTCAGTTCACCGATGAAACGATTGATGACTCAAGAGTGTATTAAACCAGGTTTTGTATATTTCCGAAGTGGCGTCATAATCATGCCTCAGCCACAGTAGGCGCAGCTTTGTCAACTTCCAGCAACCAATCGATGATAGTTTGATAGTTCCGTTGCATCCACTGCACATTGGCTTCAGTTCTCTCCAGCACTTGCTGCACCGGCCTACCCAACTCACTGCACGATTCGTTCACAAATCTCTGCAACTGCAAACCAATATTTATTATTAGCCGCTTGATAGGTCTAATAGGAATAAAATAGAATAGGATAAATCCGTAAATATAGTTTCAATTAGTAATATGTAATCTCGTACGTTTAGCTCACTTCATTAAAAGGTGCCATACGCATCTGCAATATGCAAAAGGGGCTGCAAATTTCGATGGACGGACCTTATCACTTAACATCAAGTGAACCGCTGGCTCGATTGCCACCTTTTCTCGTAATAATTAATATTTATCTTTCTTTTTTAATAAAAATAGATTACGTACGATGGAATTAAACTATTTTATGGATTTCATCGCGTTTTAAAATTTTCCGACGTGACGAACATATACGGAAAAACTGGGTTTCGGTACTTCATAGTGATAGAGTTAGTCAGGCTACATTAAACATTTTATTTAAAACATCGGGAAGTCAAAAACAAAATGAAATCCGGCGAAATCCGTAAATGGCGTATTTGTCAATGAATAGAGTTCACGTAAATGCAGGAAACCATTAGTTAGGGATTTATGACGGTTTACTAACATGATAAAATCCATAAATTGGTTTTATTTAGATGTGTAATATTCGTGTTTATGAGAAATTATTTCTCTATTGACTCACCTCTTCGTACTCGTGGACTTGATTCAGCCTTCTAGTAACCACTTTCACGATTGAATTCAATGTAGATATGGAACCAACGCTGTAAATAAATAGATATTTTATACAATAAATACAATACTTTTTGATAAATTTTATAATCCTGATTGATATACATTATTTACCTAACATAAGAAAAATGTTACAAATAAAAGTTTACTATTTCAAACTTTATAATTAAAACTTAGTCAAGCATTAAAAGCATAGCTTGTTAAAAATAAGGTTTGATTAAATAAACATAACTTATTTAAAAATCAACTAAACTAATTTCAATTATAAAATCCCATCAGCCGTCTTTATAATTTGAATAATTGCTCACTATTCTTTTAGTCTTTTCCAGTTAGCTCGTACAAAATTGAAAGCGATGGGTTCACCGATGGAAGAACTGGCTACTGCTGAAAATACTCTAACTGTGTCTTGTTTTCTGATGCCGCTGTCGTTACGAAGAGACAAATCCAAATATCTGTAATTTAAAATTTTAAAACAGATTTAAATACGATTAAAAATATTACAGTCTCATTCAATTGAACATGTAACTTCTACAAGAGGCAGGGTGCTCGAGTCTTTTATTTTCCCGCGATTTGTTATCGCGGGAAAATTCGAAATCTGAATGACATTATTAATTCCAATCTGGAAATATTACATTTATACTATATGGTGAATGCTCTGTCAAGTCTTAAAGAGACTTTCGCTATTACTCGTAACAACGAACAAATAATTTTTACAATAAACGAATAGAGCAAAACTTACATAATATGAATCACTAAATCTGATGCAGAGAAAACCATTTATTGTGTATGTATGTATGTAGATATTTGAATCATAACAAACCTGTACAACAAGTGTGGTGCTCTAGTGCAGCCTAATACCGATAGAAGGAGCTCTCTTTCTGAGGGTGAACTTGCGACGGTAAAGCGGTCCCAAGCGAACCTCCATTCCCGCGCCCCTCCAGTCTGCACGCCTACGCAGTACACCGTACTCCGAAGGTCAGCGTGTATTCTACGAAACGAAAACACTTTAGTTTTCAATCGGTTCTAATAATCAACAGCTCAAAAAAAATTCTAACGGGTAAAATTTTCGTAAACTAAACCAAGTTTAACATTCAGGTTCTAAAATATACAATCTATATAAATTGCCGGGCAAGAAACATATTAACACAAACGGCTAAAGGCTCAAATCTTAGTACATCATTACGCATTGCAGAAGGTGTTGTTACAACAACCACAATTGTTTACAAAATAATTGCCTAAATAGCAAGCAGGTCACTTGATGGTAAACGATCACCAATTTCGACCATTGGCGACCCCCTCAGAAAAGAATTGACTCTCTTCTTGAAGTTCCCTATGTCATATCGGTCCATAAATATCGTTAACACCAACTGATTCCGCAAAAGGGGAATGTACAACCAATAATGGTACAGAAGAAGATAGTTGGATAAATATTCCATTATAATATGCTTACAAATTGTCGACATATACCAGGAACAATTGAAAATCTGGGTTTTTTCATACACGAAATGCATAAAGCTGAATTCCATTTAGTATATATACCATTGAGATTCTCGTGATTTACGGTGGTGAAATAACATGGATAGTTCTAAAGCATCAATTTGATCATGAAAACATCGTCATCGACAAATCGTTAATTTTACTAAACACGCTAATATTATTAAGTACTTTAAATAGCTACGAAACGAAATTAGTCACAAAGGCTTAAGTGATTAAAATTGTTGTTTGGAAGATTACAAACAAAGAGATATTGAGTACATTTTGTCTTTGTATATTATTTATTATTAGCACCAATTCGTATAAATTATGACTTTATGATTGCATTTGAGTCACGCCATATAAGGCCAAATATCGCCAAATATTAAATCTTCAGGTTTAAAGTTTCTAATGTAATTTTCGGGGCGGGTGTTGGTAAGGTTATAAAGTGTATATGACATGAATATTAGTGAATTGTTTCGTCCTAAATGCCAGCCTCTACTGTGGTAGTGATTGTTAGGCAATTATCAAATTCATTAGTGTTTTTCTTTAGATTTGATGAACAGACATTAACAATAAGCTCTAGATAGTATTAATCTAGCTCTCTATAAATTAAAAATCCCTCATTTAATGGTTTATTCTGTTTACGCGAAATCGTTGATTAAAGTTGACGGTAGCCTGGTCTTACTATGACATTAGAACGAAAACCATATCAGTCTGTCCGCTGTGACTATAATGGTCTATAAAGTATTCGAAACGTCAGGAATATATATACATATATATTTACAATTTTAATATCTAAACAATTTTAAGATGTGAGAGCTCTCCAATCAGCCAATTGGCAAGAAACAGCCCAGAATAGAGAGCAGTGGCGTCTTTTTGTGTCGGAGGCCAAGATCCTCTTTGGGTCGCTGAGCCAGCCAAGTAAGTAAGTAAACGTGAAAATATCTGAAATTTTAATTTTATATTTAATCCCCTTAATTCTTTGAATTTTTTTATTTATTTAATTAATTAAAGTTTTACATTTGATAATTAATTTAGTACATTGGGCCGTGAAGGAATTTAAACGCAATCACGAAATTTCATATTACTAATAATAATAAATAGAAATCAATAAACCGTGAAAGTGCAAAGCGACCTGACTTAACATCGCAGAGCAGGTACCAATTTCATCGTTACTTACAATGTAAAACGCTGATCAATCCCATACTTGGGCAGTGAAGAAAAAATCATGACATGAAAGAAATAATTCGAAGCTATTTGAAGTTTTTATTACACGTATACACTACATTTACTTAAATTAAGCCTAAGATTTGATTAGAGATTTTATTTGCTTACGAGTATTTCGACAGGCCTTTTATCTTACCTAAATCACTTTGTTTCATTTTTAAATTATTTTATTATTATATAGTATTTTATATATTACTATTATATATTTTTTATAATATGTGTGATATAGTGCTAGATGATGATTTTTTCTCCTGCACATCTTCTAGTGCATCCGATGGGAGCAATGCTAGTGTTTTTAATGACTCTTTTGATTTGCGTCATGAACTAGATGCTGCCTTCTGTAATTATAATAATAACCTCAATATTGTCCACATAAATGCCCAAAGCATTCACGCGCATTATGCAGATCTTTTGTCGGCATTTGATTCAAAATTGATTGATGCCTTACTTATCTCAGAAACGTTTCTCAAACCAGGTCTCCCTTCTTCTCAATACTTTCTTCCTGGTTTTCAATTAATTCGTAATGATAGAACAGGTAAAGGGTATGGTGGTGTTGCAATTTACCTAAGAGAAGATATTCCTTACAAAATTATAGACAAATCTCCAAACCCATATTGTAATTTTGCTGAACATTTGTAGAAATAATAGTTAATTGCTCTAAAGTTTTACTAGGGGTTTATTACCCTCCATCCCGCAATATAAACTACTTTTTCTCTTTGGATAGTAAGCTCCAAAATCTAATTCCTCTTTTTGATCACATAATTATTTTAGGGGATTTTAACACCTGTCTTCTTAAAAATGACGCACGCAGTAAAAAACTCCTTGATCTCACCTCGTCCCTTAATCTACATATTCTTCCTCTCTCTGCCACACATTATTCTCCTAACTCTTCTCCTTCACTTTTAGACCTTATTATTGTTTCTAACATTGACCGTGTCTCTTCCCATGGCCAGCTTTCTGCTCCATTTTCATACCACGATCTTATTTTCCTTTCTTACAATATCCTGAAGCCCAAACGCGAGCCAAAATTTTTATTGTTGAGACCTTTTAAAGCAATTAATTGGGATCTACTAAGAGATGACCTCAAGGTCATCGACTGGTCTCCTGTTGTGGGTGCACATAATGTTGATGATATGATATCGGCTTTTAATAATATTATCTTAAATGCAATCGATAAGTATGCACCTCTTAGACGAGGGAAAGTAAAACATCTCCCAGCTCCTTGGATCACTCCAGCCATAAAAAAACTTATGTCGAAAAGGAATAAGGCAAAAAGAGCATACAAAAAGAATCCTACGGACAGTAATTTAATAGCCTATAAAAAACTCCGCAATCGCTGCAGCAAAATGTGCCGTGACGCGAAAAGGAGACACATTCACAACATAGTTGAGAATTCTCAATCTCAATCTTCACTTATGTGGAATCATCTCAGAAGCCTGGGTATAGGTCACTCACAAAAAGAATCTAATGTTCAGTTTGACCTAAATGAGCTCAATCGTCATTTTTCTCAACCTCCTAAAACTATAAACCAATCGCTCAAATCCACCACTTTAAGCCTTCTTTCCAATCTTCCTAAACCTATATGTCCTCCTTTTAATTTTAGCGACGTAACTGAGGATGACGTCAGTAAAGCAATTTACAAAATTACAACTAATGCCATTGGTTATGACGGTATCTCTCTTCGGATGATAAAACCTATTTCCCATGAGCTTCTTCCTATCATTTCTCATCTTATTAATTCTTCTTTGAATACTTCCTCTTTTCCATCTATTTGGAAAAAAGCTTTTGTAATTCCTCTTCCAAAAACTTCTACTCCTTCAGCGATATCTCAATTTCGCCCTATTTCTATTCTCCCTATTCTATCCAAAGTCTTGGAGACAGTAGTTCACAAGCAACTCTCTCATTTCCTCTTTTCTCATAGCATGCTGAGTCCGTTACAATCCCGTTTTCGTCCTGGTCACAGCACAGTCAGTGCTTTACTGAAAGTATCCGATGATATACGCTGGGCTATGGACAATAAACATCTCACAGTTCTAACATTACTGGACTTCAGTAGTGCATTTAATTCAGTCGACCATGGTGTGCTTCTGGGTATTCTGTCATCGTTAAATATCTCGGATTCGGTTATCTCATGATTTCAGTCATACCTTGAGGGCCGCACGCAGTGTGTTCGCCACGAGGATGAATTTTCCGAGTGGTGTGATCTCACTGCTGGCGTTCCTCAGGGTAGCGTCCTTTCCCCACTCCTCTTCTCCATTTTTATTAACACTTTAGTTTCTGTTCTTACTTCACACTACCATCTCTACGCTGACGACTTACAGCTTTATCGGCACTTTAAAATTGAAGGTGCTGAGGAAGCCATTACTATACTTAATGCTGACTTGAGCAGAATTAGTAATTGGGCAAAGTCTTTTGGACTCCTCGTTAATCCTGGCAAATCAAAAGTTTTAATTATTGGGAGCTCCTATTATTTAAAACATCTAGATTGCTCAAAACACCCGGATGTAATTTATGATAATGTCCAAATTCCTTTTTCAGACTATGCAAAAAATTTTGGAGTGGTTTTCGATAAACATACGTCATGGGCATCTCATATTAACCTCATTAGCAAAAAATTATTTTTTACGTTTTATTATTAATTACGCCTACGATATCTGTACATAGTTTCTGCCCAGTAGCGGAACATACGTACCACTACTACTACTACTACTAGAATATTAACGCGATCTTACTCGTTATAGGCATCAGGGTTGGGGCTGAGCATCCAGTTGGTGTACAGACGGACCGCGTGCTCGAGGCAGTCAACGTGCTGCAGATGGCAGGCCGTGGAGAGCAGGTCCACACGCTGCTGGGCTCGCACCACGCTCTCGCCACCCACCACCTGCCACCCAAGCTCTTGCACAGCCCCGGATACCAGCCGCAACACGTAACGCTATACAGAAACCAAACTCCATAACAATTTGAACCTTGACCAACTTCTAATTTTGATTGTAGAGAACTAGTTTAATTGATATGCCAATCATCTCTCACGAACCTGTTACACAGACCTTTCCGTCATCAAAAAGTAAACGTTAACAAATCGAAATGTTCTCTCAACCAATGGATTCTAGATTTAGAGAATAATATCACATTTATACGGTGTTTTGGATTCGCGAAAATTAAACTTTTATCTTTCAATCCATGGAATACCTAAATATGAGGCATATTTAATCTATAGAAAAAGAAGTTTTACGCACGGATATTGTCGTTTCCAGATTTTTGTCTTTTTTTTTTTCAAATTCCTGTACCTCCCTACTTATATCATTTAGTTTTGCTTGAACACATGTTTATATTATTTCTTAAATATTTATCAGTCACCAGCGAAGATAATTTAAGAAGAAACTTAGAAACTTCGATGTCTGTAGTTGTATTCCGTGAAATTTACCACGGAATACAACTAAAGACAAAACTAAAGTGAAAAAAACTGAAGGCGTATAAAATTTCACCTTGGTAATTATAACACATATTTCAAAGATTGATAAGATTGCAAAAGTAATTCATAATCATCAGTTCTTCCTTTTAGAGTACAACTGTCCTTATAACAATTAGATAAGAACATATTTTAAATTTATAGCAAATCGATATGGATTATATGAAATATATTAGTTTTATTGGTGATATAAAATTGTCAGAACATTTCAGTTATCATCATCGCAATGCATCATCGGTTTAAAAGTGATCAATTACATTCGTCACTGAACGTTTCGTCATTGTATTACGATAACCTCGATACTCAATATGTTTTATTATAAAATTTAAAAAGTGCTCGAAAGTAGTTGGTGGAACCAAATTGTAAATCACATTTTACTTAAAGACAAATTACAATTTATTCCTGAAATTTATCCAATATGGAATAAATATTCGTCGCGATAAAACTACTTCGCAATGCTTCTCCTGGTTTATGGTTAAAAATTTATTGAATCATACATATTTCTTACCACAGAAATCTTTGCTATTTGCACAACAGCAGTGGTATTCTTTCAGTAAAAATTGTCATTATTAGAAAATCGGGTTGTACCTTTGAATTGTAACCGCATTCATATTTAATCTAATTATATCATTTTTTATCTATTTCTTTGAAGTAAAACGTCAGTTGTATCTTTCCGACAATAAAGTGTAAATTACCTATTTATTAAAAGTAAGATAACGATTAGAAAATGATTATGAAACCGGATTCAACAGGTTTAGAACATTAATTCAAATATTTTTTACTATCCATAGCGACATCTCTTGATCGAAATCATAACTTACCCCCGAAATTTGCCGATGATATGGAACTATGTAAGAGTTTTGCTTTTGGAGTAGGTACCTACTATCCATACTAATATTATAAATGCAAAAGGAACTTCGTCTATCTGTCTCGCTTTCACGCCAAAACTACTGAACCGATTTAAATGAAATTTGGTACACAGATAGTCTAAAGCATGAGAAAGGACATAGACTATTTTTAATTGGATTTTTTTTAAAAGAAACTAATTTATTTAACGGCTTCAATGCGAGCGTAGTCGCGGGCGAAAAGTATAAAATATATGGATTACAACTTCAAAGAACAAGAATCTAGATGTTGATGAATATTTCTCGCTATGAAATCTTTTCGCAATCCCTCTTTTGGTTTACGACTAATAAATGTATTTAATCATCTATAATATTCCTTATCACTGAAATCTTTATTTTTTCTTTTCTATTCGCACAAAATTAGTGGTGTCCTTGCAGTCAAGTTCTACGTTAATAAATGTGATATCTCAAAACCCGGTTTCCTCTACCTCTGAATTAAAAGCGCATTTTGTTTTAATCTAAATGTATCATTTTTTATCTACATCTTTGAAATAAAACGTAGTTATTTGTGTTATTTCGATAATATAGCATAAATTACCTATTTAGTTAAAGAAAAGATAGCGATTAGAAAATGATTATGAAACCGGATTCAACGCTTTGAGAACTTCAATTCAACATTTCAATACCAGTAGCGACATCTCTTAATAGAGTTCGTAAGTAAATATAATAATAAAATAATTAATTTCTCAAAAAATGACATAAAAACAAGAACTAATCCATATTGGTTACTTTTATATAATGAACGTAAAGGAAAGATAATTAAATTCGTAAACTTACCAAAAATTTTATTCTTAGGGACATGAGATCGCATTATCGACACTTTTAAGTTCCTAATTTTTGTTAGCTTATTTAATTAGGTAACGAATTTTTTAAATTTATCACTACATCCTTAGTACGATATCACCTATAGTAACTTTTAACTGCATTTATTTTTCTTAAAATGTAAAAAAGATTACAAAATTTAATCTAACCTTATATTCCAGGTAAAACGCGCCTTTGGACAGCATTGTATCGATGTAACCCAAAGCAACTAATCCAGCCTTCCAGGGAACGTAGCTTCTTTCGTGCGATAAATAGCTGGTTATATCTAAGGCCGTTATATAGTCCAAACGACCCGAAAGCGCTAAATTCATCGCATCATCGATAATTTGCGCTCTATTTATCGGATGGATCTCTTGAAAGCGAGATGGATCGTTTAGAATCTTTATGAGAAGCTCCCAGTTGTGCTTGTCGTAGTTAACGCGGTAAAATCCTGTTGGAAGAAAAATATTTGTATAATACATATAGGAGTGTCCGGGCGCTCGCTTTCAATTCAATATACTCGAGCAACTCGAGTTCAAATTCCGGTGCAGGTTAAGTGCTGAATTATCAAGTGCTCAGCGGTGAAGAAAAACATCGTGGGAAAAGATATGTGAAGGCCGGCTATACAGAGGAGGCATTTGCCCAGCAGTGGGATATATAAGCTCCTACTATATTTATGGCAGGCTTATTATATTATAATTATATTAATCTAAAAGCAAACTAAATTCTATCATAGCGTGATATTAGCATACCTGTTTGTTGGATGTTCGCAATGAACCAGTCATTTCGACTGACGGAGATGTTCTTGACAACTATCGATCTCTCCCCTCGCAGCCAGAGCTTTGGCCTGGTAGATTCAAAGTCTTTCTCGGACGCGGTCGTGTAAGAAATTGGTATCCACCAGACGGGAGATTTTTGATCGTCGAGCGTACTTTTGATCAGGACAAATCTTTCCTAGAAAAAATAATGATGTATGTATGCACAAAATCAATACACAACTATGCTAAAATGGAAAGGAATTTAAGACATTACGCAACTGATATGGGTGTGTAATGTCGTAAATTCCTTTTTAAAATTACTAGCTTGAGATTAGACTATATTTAGTGCGATTAGGAGAAATTGATTTTTGTGTGATCTACTTGAATACAACTTCTTTTTTCTTATTAAATTAACGAAACTTATTTCGGTGCTGCGGGATTCGAACCTGACTCTTCCGTTTCATCTTGAGTTAGACGACGTACAACTTTAGTGCAGAGACTTGTCCTCTCTTCCCCCCGGAACGAACCCATAACCCCCGAAACTGTTAGCTTGGCAACTGCGCCACTGCTGCACTGGCAAGAACGCCTCACCCAGAGACTAGCACAATGTACCTCATCATCATCATCATCGCAGCCTGTTTGAGTCCACTGTTGAACATAGGCTTCCCGCACAGACTGCCACGAACCTGAGCCACCGGCATCCATCGATTTTCCCCACATTTGCACAGATCGTCACTCGATCTAGTGGGGGGTCGTCCTACACTGCGATGGCCAGTACGAGGCTGCTACTCGAGAACCTTTCTTTCCCAACGATTATCGGTTCTACGAGCTATATGCCACTTCAGCTTGCTAATCCGAGCGAGCTATATCGCCGGCCCATCGCCACCTCAGCCTGCCAACCTGAGCCATGCCGGTGCACTGTACCTGTTTAAACTCGACGCCGCCTCGGTAGTCCCTCGTGACTGTGAGCACCGGGAAGCCGGTCTGCAGCGTCCACGAGTCCATGACGACCGCCACGTCCGCGTCGAAGGCGGCCGCCTCGCGGGCGGCGTTGGTCAGCGCGCCCCACAGGTCGCGCTGCTCCGCGTCGCAGAACTTGCGCGCGTTCAGGTAGGCCGTGATGCCGGCGTTGAACACCGCACCCGTCAGGAAGTGGTTCATCATCCGCAAGATGGCCGAACCTTGAAGTTTGTTAGTTTGTCGCGTTAGATATTTGAGAACAATTTTACACAACGCCCTCTAGTTGAAGTTTATAAATTTTTCATGTTTGTTTTTCAGAACATTTTTACACAACGTTCTCTAGTGCGAAACTAAGCAACGCTTGTCTGTTGGTACTAGATAATTGACAAACATAGCTAAACATACAATTATTTTGTAAATAAATACATGTTGCACATATATAAGCATGCAGACACTAGGAAAACACTATGTTCATCACAAAATATTTTTCCAGTAGTGGGGATCGAACCCACACCCTCTAGCGCAGGAGGTTCACTACCCACTACGCCATTCGGGTCGTCAAATATTTCGGAACATCAAAATATTTATTTTAAAATATTTCGGAACATTTTTACACAATGATCTCGAGTTTATTAATTTGTCATGTTAAATATTTCAGAACATTTTTAAACAACGTTCTCTGAATATTGTAATGAAAACAAGCGATTGTGGTTATAGTTCCCCGCACAAGTAAATCCAAAGTGGATTTATACGACTTGATCCATGAGAAATGTGATATGTCCGCTGTAGATTTGATTTCCACAACAGGACGTTGTACGGGCTCTTCACATCAAATTTTATACTCATGTTTGTCATTATGTTTCCTTATAATTATGGTAGGCTGCCTTTCTACACACTAGAATTAGTATTGGAGATGAGAAAAAATTATTTAAATGACTGTATTTTTGTTTATTTACTCGATAATATTAGCTTTTTTATTTAATGTTACTATAATTCTTGTGATGACTACTTAATATGATAGGCGTCCTGTTTTTACAAAGTTTTATGGAATTAAAAATGTATAATAAAAATATTATGTTAAGAATTAATTTGCATTTTAATGTGTTTTTATAACTATGTAAATAATGAAAGGTTTATCATTATTTATGGACATATAAATAGAAAATAATGTAACCTCAATCTCGTTATATAATATACGTTGTGCGATTAACACAATACAAAGACTGAAAAAAATGAGGCAAACCGTACCTTTCCCATAGGAAATTTTATCAAAAATCGCTCCAATTTCCTCTGGGTTACCAACTTCCACTGATATTTGGTGTGAAGATGTTAAAGCATCTAGCTTGAACACGCTCTGCACCTCGTTCAAAACGAATACTTCCATTAATTTCCATGTACTTTCCACCTAAAAGAGAATAATTTCAAGTAATGACAACGTAAGTAAACTGCACCTCCAAATCGATTTATGTTAGAATATTAATTGGTACAGTTGAAAAACAATCAATAGTTTAATTAGAAACATTTCTTTATCTATTATTTTACAGTCTTTCTATCCGTCACGTTTTCGTTTTTTGAACAAGTACTGCAAAACGCTAACTGAGGGAGGCATACAAAATTGTTGTCCAACTGATTCACACTATTTACTGATTTACACTTAACTGATTCACTGATTTACACTTAACTAATTCACATTTTAATTGCTCTTTACGCTTACTTTTTAATTCCTTATCACACACATAGAATAGAATGGTAATTTTTCTTTTATTTTAGCATTCGTTCAACAGTTCATTCCTATCCTTTCCACTATAGGACAACTAGACGCTTGGCAAAACTTCATCCCTATGTTCATGAACTTTAAAACGCGCCCTTTGCTTCATCGTGCATTGTGCGCACAGACACCGGAGGATGCAACTTCCAAACGCCTGTGTTTAATGCACGAATATAACGTCAGCATTTAAGTCAAGAATTAACTTAACCTTTACTGGACTTTAACGCTTACCAAATATGTTTGCATCTAAATATGCTTCCACCAGGGAGAGTAGCAGCCGGCTATTGACCAGTTTCTCTTAAAAAGCCTTGTTTGCAATAATCTCTCATAAAAGATACTTGTGATAAAATTATGAAGCAACTTACAGCATCGACGGCAACGTACTCCACGTAGCTAGCAAAGCCCTCGTTGAGCCAAATGTCGGACCACCAGGCGGGCGTGACCAGATTGCCGAACCACTGGTGCGCAATCTCGTGCGCCACCACCGACGCCACGCGAGCCTTGGCCGTAGTCGGCGACACGCCTTCATCGTACAGCATAGCTATTTCCCTGAGGATGAATAGAGGACGTCCGGTTCTTTATAACATTATCCCCGTCGAATTATAAGTATACAACAAATAAATAAAATATGATTATCAGTGGCTATGAGGATCATAGTCACTGATAATCAAATTTTAAAAGAAAAGAAATATTTAAAGATTATAGCAGTGAAAAACGGAACTATTTACGTTATTCATGTGTTTGAATGTTGAGTCATGGGATTCATTTGACTCGAGAACTTACTTAATGATTGTTCTTTAAACAAATATTTCGTTCTACCCATCATGTTCTAGTCCGAGTTTTAAAAAGGCTTCGTTTTCCCTCACTCACGACCGTCCCTGTTTGAAGTGACAACGGCATCAAACTTTATTTTTTATTTCTTTATTTTCACGATCAATGTTATACTTAAGGTTTTTAATTAATTCATAAAACGACATTTATTCATTCGCTGCGATTATTCTAAATTATTATCCCTTACATTCTCCAACTTTGAACTGTTACTCGGACTTTACTGAGAGTTAATTTATTTCGATCTCTTTCTTACCGTAAGTGGTTTGTTCTTTTTCGAGTATGTCAGTATATAAGTACAGTTTGTGTTTGTGACCTGGGAATTTTCGTGAAGGACGTGCTATTAAAAGTCAGAAACGCACTTACTAGCTCAGAAACTTGTGTATAAGTTGTTAACATTTTCTCCTATGTTACTAGGAAAGGATTTTTATTCTATATAATACTGTCTAATAGCTCTTTGGCGATATATTCATTCGTTGCTTTAAAAAAAAGAGGTTTTGAGTGCAAGCCGGACTCGCGCACGAAGGTTCCGTACCATCGGCGATAAAACGGTGTTTGTTGTATGGGAGACCCAATTAAATATATTTTTATTCTATTTTTTAGTATTTGTTGTTATAGAGGTAACAGAAATACATCACCTGTGAAGATTTCAACTATCTAACTATCACGGTTCATGAGATGCAGCCTGGTGAAAGTCGGACAGTTAAACACTTAAACAAACAGACAGATAGACAATAATAAATACAAACAGACAGACGGACAGAGGAGTCTTAGTAATATGGTCCCGTTTTAACCTTTGGGTACGGAACCGTAAAAACCGGACCTCACTATCAAAATGAACACGGAAAATAATGCACGAAATGATGATAATCGTAATATATGGCATTACGTTTAATAGTGATGTATAACAATGTGAGTTCTCTTAAAAGTTGCACGGATTTATTGCGACCCCACTGTTACATGAAACTGAACCGAGCAGTAAAACCGCCACTCGGGATACGTACTGGCGTTGCAAACGATCCCGCCCCCTTTCTAGAGGAGTGATAAATGGCCCCTGCGGCGAGCTTAATGAAGCGTTCTACAGCGACGCCACTAGTGATCGATTAGCGACCTCTGTGCAAGCCATCAACGTATTTATTTGCTTCTTTTTTTTAGATAAAGTACAACGTTTTTTTTTTTTTTAAATGTACAATATTTATTGATCTAATATTTACAAGATTAAATCTATCTAAAATTACATATTATCTAATAAACCTCATCCATGCGGCACGGTGCCAAGAATGCTAGCTGCATTTCCTCGCTGAATAGTAATGCTTAACCTTTGAGCGAGAAAAGCACCAGCTCTCTTGTCACCAGCCACGGTTATATTTGCTCCATTTGTTACTGTTTACTACGAGTATAGCAGCGATTGCGTATCGACCTATATAATCGTACGCTAGATATACTGGTTACCCTTTCATACTTTTCTAGCTCTCTCCCACAACTTAGCTCGCGTGTTCATGTTCTAAATCGAATTGTTATTTTGTTAGAGACTAATAAGTATCACATGGTTTAGTTCACCAAATCTGTTATGTGAAGGGGTTTTAAAAACAGACACTTGAAACAATCAAAGTACTTTCATTAATATTTTTTTTATATTTCTGATTAATGGTCAAACAATTTTTTTAACGTCAAAAACCGCAGCGGTAAGTCTAGAAAGTAAATCCAGATATAGCTAAACTCCTAGGAATAAATAGTATTTCTAATAATCATCGATAAAGTAATGGTAAGCTTTAACGTCGCAAAATTACAATGCGTTAGTGACGAAATACCAAGGTCGGTATTTTTATCACGTGCAGTAATCGAACTTAACATACCACAACGATTTACGAACAGTGCAGACTCATCGCATGCAAATTTTGCGAAAGACTTCGTAAAAACAAAACTGTATGTTTCGGAATATATATAATAAGAAACAACATCGAACATGAATACGAAAACAAAGACTGTATGGTCTTTTCCACTATAATCATACCTGAAAGTCAGCAATCCCCAATTCTCCATCGCGCCAGCTTTGAAGTCTGGCAAAGCCATCATGTCGATTTTCGGTAGCGGGAAATCTATTTTGTAGTAGTCCTCCAAGAACTTTAAGATCTTTGGACCAATGTCCAGGGCGTAAGCGGCTGACGGCAGGGCCTCTTTCCTCGCCCATACGGAGAAGTTGTTGTCACTCATGTTGCCAAAGTCCGTGACGGCAAACGCCACCAAGTAGGTGGACATCGGAAGGGATTCAGCATAATGGTCCCATACGTAGTCCTTAAGTGACTCGCTGAAAATTTTGTTATTTAAAAACATATTATGCGTTCCTCATAATCATCAAGTCTAAATGGCACTACTGTGTTACAATGGACCTTTTGCTGTACTAAATATTTACGCAATAAGCATGTGTGCAGTCTATTCATAACAAATCGATACTATAGCAATTTTAAAAAGTGCGGTTTTATTTGCAAGACGAACCTTGTACTACTAATAGGAGCCTTGGCCTAGTTACGAGGGTGAATGAATTCAGGTCTCATAGCGACTTTGTTAAAGGACCTCAAAGTACGTGTTATTTTTAAAGAACACATATACATAATTCCATTTACATTGTAATCACTGTGAGTTTCCAGCTTATAATATTTATGATTTATGTATATTTGTATACTTGTATGATTAAAACGAATAACAAGACCGCAGTTTCCTGCCGGTTCTTCTCTGGTTAGTTCTTGTTTTTTGCTTTAGTGAACCAACCGGTGGTAGTTTGATGACGTTCAATAAGAGCTTAAAATAATCCCATTTGGAATAAAGAAATTTTGACTTTGACTTTGATAACCTAACTATATAGCCAACGGGTCAAGTGCTCGTCGATTAGAGTACAAACATACTGTGTCTGCCTCCCGATGATGTTCATGTTTGACACTGAGCTCATGTTGGCGGGTCGCGCGATGCTGATGGTGAAACGGGCCTTCAGCGCCGGCTCGTCCCAGCAGGGGAACGCACGACGGGCGTCCGTCGCCTGGAATTGCGTTACCGCTATCCATCTGTACAATTATCAGACATGAATCTAATATGAACTGACCCACATCATGCCGTCCTTGTCGTATAGCGCCTTTAAGCGAACTAAACAACATTTTATCAAGCAAACATATCATCCTGCAAAAACAACGTAACAACAACAACGTAACAAAATCCACGCAAATGAGTATAGGAAATTAATTTTTGCGTGAAAAAAAAGAGTGAAATAAATGCTAAAAAGTTTGATTATAAAGTAAACGCTCATACGTTAACAACTTTTGAGCTTTTAATCTTGCAGCAGATGTAATAGATCAACAGGAGTTTAGGTTAAAAATGTGTTTACAGTATTACCAAGGCATGTATTAATCCGTGAAATTTGTTGAAAGTAAAGTTAAAACTCTTAATATTCCTTACAAAATTTTTATCTAACGATGAGTAGCACTAATTCTTAAAACACAACACACATATCTGCTATATACTAATACTAACACACACGTTGAAAATCCTACACTCGTAGCAGTAATTACGGCATTACTATTCATTGACGGTGACAATTCATCAAACTACACGCCGCAAGGATATACGCTAGGAATATTAACGATTGTATTAGACTTGCCTTCTTTAGAACACGGATACATTTATTGACTATTGTCTATTAAAACGTACTCTTTTTTAATAAACTTTATTCCTATTTACAATTTTAGCCTTCCTTTAATTACCTCTTACTTCCTGATGACACCGCTATATAATTAACATGTAGATAAATGTTCTTCACATCAAAATCGTATGTTAATTAGTATTGCCGTGTTTAGTACAGTTTAATTTCTTACCTTTTCACCTTCTTCTCTTCATATGAACTCCTGTAGAATCCGTGAAGGTTATCGTTGAGTATACCCGTATACGATACATTCAAGTAGTACTGCTTACCAGCTATAAGCGCTTCATTCAACGTTAGAATTTGAAATTGTCGCGGCACGTCTTCTGTTCTACGTACAATTTGAACCTCTTCTCCGTTTTCTTTTTTCAACAGCTTTATTCTGTGATACGTCAATTCAACCCCATGGAAGATTAACTGGTTCGTTTCATTTTTCACTGTTACAATTACACTTATTTCTCCATCAAAGGTGAAGTTTCCTTCGAAGATATACGGGGTGAGTTTTAGGTAGTATCTATCTGGCTTCACGCTAGTTGGCAAACGAACGTCAGTCACCGTTGCAACTTCTTCAACAGTTGTTGTTTCCACGGCAACTGTTGTGGTTTCTACTGTTACGACTGATTTATTACTATCGGTTGTCAATGGTATAACGAAAAGTTTAGGTTGGTCACAATGAGTTAGTTCATACTTAGTTACGTTAGCTAATTGGTCAGTTCTTGGGCACGCTGCAAAATTGTAAACTATAAATGCAGTTGCCACTAAGGCTAAAGTGAAAATAACGAGGATGACGAAAGCGAGGCCTTTAGAAACGTATACACCCCGTTTCGTTTTCGTGGAGAAGTCACAAGTTGGCGGGTTACCGTCCATTATGGTAAGTGGTTCACGACCTTGTTTCATTACACCATCTAGTGAGATTCATTACACCATCTAGTGAGATTCATTACACCATCTGAAAGAAAATGGGAATAATTAATATGGTCGACTTAGGACTAGGGATCTTTAATATGGGTGGGTGCAAAAAGGGCTTCCTAATACAAAAACAAATATATTTCTTAAAATATGACTTCCATCAATGGATTATGTTAATGGGTTTTATTTTATAAAGTTACGGGTCATAATGAAAGGTTATTTAAAAAGTTTAAAATTAGTATTTAAATAATCGTTTTTATCATAATTCATTTTTATGTCTTAAAAAGTAAAGTCGCTGAAAACTAACCCAGAGAAACAAACTTTAAGAGCTTTTTGTGGCTATTAAGCTGATTAGAAATTACTTTCACATTTATCTTGGAACACAATTGTTTCATGTTTAACTCAATTCTTGAAAACCAAGATAAAATGCATAGCCACTGGAACATTCTAATTTTATCTTGTTAATGCGTGATGAACACAGTGTAGGGGCATTTATATCCATGTTGTTGTTGCATACGCACGTTCAATGAAGGCCTTTCATTAAATCACTTTTTACGATCTGTCTTTTGTAATGGAGACATTGACCTTTTATAGCCTATGCATTGCAACCACATTCAGATAACATTCAGATGTCACTTATAGTACAAATACAAATATCAAGAGCTCCCATTTGAGAGTTCCCGTCATTAAATAGGGTAAAACTAACAACACCGACATTATAAACAAGATATATGCAATAACGGTTATTATCAGTACCTATTTTTACACAGCGTTATTTATTCCCAAACTAAGCAAAGCTTGTACTATGAGTAGCAGCAGGTAACTGATAAACATACTAAAACATGCTTTTCTTTTGTAAATATATAAACATCCAGACACTAGATAAACACTATGTTCATCACACAACATGCGTTAAGTGTGGGGATCGAACCCATAACCTCAGGCGCAAGAGACAGGTTTATTATCCATTACGTCAATTGGTCACAGTTGAATGCAATATTTCATAACGAACTAATTCGGGATAGGGGTGTTCGTTATATCAATTATGAAACAAATCGTGCATGTAGCGGGCACAGTCATTTCATTCAGCTCTGATTGAAATCTGTAAAAGTAATCAACGCTAGGACTAAGCACATGTCATAAAAGACATTCATAACGATCGTTAGTTGAGTGTTGGACTAAATATCAAATGATAATTTTACATTTCTCGTGAACTATTAACAATGCCATCAACAATTTTCATTAACATTCTGAGTGTATTAAAAATGATACTAATCTTTATCAAATGTAAGGCCTAAATGAATACTGGACTGACTGTAATGTTTTATCTCTTCTAAATTTCATGTGATTAATGTTCCTACGATTCTCAGGATTTAAAAACAATCGCATAATCATAATAATATGTATAATATAGTGCAAATAGTATAGTATAATAATATACTATACTATTTATTACATAGTATAGTGTAATAAAGGATTATAAAGTATATAAAGTGATCTTATAATAGATATAACAGTAACTTTATATTAGACGTCATCACAGAGTGTAGACAACATATAAAAATATTTCTGTAATGAAATCGCTTGCGCTTACGACACAGACAATACTGGTTTTGTGTTGCATATGTAACAACCCGATGCAGTCTTTCTCCAATTAGGTCATAGATAAACTTATATGTTTGAAGTTATATGCTAGCTTGAAGCAAAAAGGTTTTGACAAACCGCCTACTATGTTTCTTTTGATTAACTGTTATCTGCTTTCACCGAAAACTTTAAAGGAAAAGTGATGAAAATATTTAAAGAAGAATTTTGGTTTTACAATTGCTACATTACTTGATAACAACATCGAAGTTATACCTTTCGAGTTCGAAATACGAATTCTTGACAGCACTATAGAGTCAGGAATTAAAAAAAATACATTTTATTTTAATTACATTATCTAGATTTCTAATTTTCTGTGTATGTTAATTAATTTATCAAAATGTTAAAGAACTAAAGTGCAAAATGTTCGATATTCAAATAACTATAGTGAAAACTGTCTTAAAGCCATTTACTATATATTTATTTGTACTTCGTTCACTGTTAATTTAATGGCTAATCGTTTTTACGTAGAACAAGGAAAGTTTTACAAAGATGCTTATCTTGAAATACGCTTAAGCGGCTAAGAAGGAAACCCACATACTTATAAGCCGTACCTACTTCCTACTCAACGCCCTGCATCGATTTCCCATTGTCATTCTTTCAGTCTATAACGACAGCTATTGTTCCGTACATAGTTGGACCACCTTATCGAGAACTGTTAGAAATGAAGTCTTTTAACCATATCTTATATAAACGGCCATGGCTAGTATCTTACATGTTTATTTATTTCAACTTTATGAAAAAAAAAGCTCCGTACACGGACTTATGCTAAAGGTATTTTCTGCGAGTGAACCTAACGGGTGGTCCAAAGTTATATTTATTCTTCTTTTTTATTCCAATTTCTATGTTATCTGAGAATTAAAAAAAAATCCGCCGACTTAACACGACAAGATGTGAAATCTGACAAACACACTACACACTTTGCACTTCTAAAATTAGTACGACCGCTAAAATGGCTACTTCCATAAATTCAATTATGTCAGTTTAAATTAATAAAATTATAAAAATTCGGGGGGATTCCTAATTCAAATGATTGTAACATTTTTTGCATTGTTATCAATATAAATGATTTTTTTTTTTGTAATATCACCTAACATGCTTTAAAGTTACCTAAATTTATTCTAATCGTTGTATTTTAAACATTATTCTGTAAAAAAGACTGATGTAATTCTGGCGGCATGAAAGTTTTAATTCTTACTCTTGCATACGACTTACATTGTTGAGTCTAGCAACTACCCTTTCACTTAGAATTGTACGAAAGTTTGAAAGGACAATACAATAATTTGTGTATACACAGACATTTTAACAAAATATAAATAAAAATGGTTTAACCTTTTAACCTCTAATAAAAAAATAAACTATAAGAACTAATTCTGATTGAAATGGTTTTATTTTAAGACATCTTTACACTGTTACAGAAGTTTAAGAAAATCTAGTCTTGAAAAATGCCGTTGGGTGTGAAGCTTTGCTTATATTTTACACACACACACACACACACACACACACACACACACACACACACACACACACGTACCGAGAAACTTTTAATTTAATAATGAAAGTGAACGATGGTAATTCTTTAGGGATTTACGCCTGTCAAGAGATCAAAGGAGACCTCCACCCCTTGAAATTATCCTTGATTTCGTAATCGTAATTATCCCGAGCCAAGCGGGTTGGTAATTGAAGAGGTGGAAGCCTGGACTTAACCAACGATACTTGCACAGCAGGGTACAAGCCCTGTTAGCTGGATCATCGGGTTGACGTCACCACTACAATACTTGCACAGAGCCCTATCAACTATCATCGGGTGGCTATCTCGTGTGAACTCAATTGTTAGTCAAAGGCCATTGACATGTTATTATAAATGGCTAACCTTAGTTAACAATCAATGCAATATTAATATAAATATTTTTTACACTTTATAAGATTAACCGTAACAAGCCCATTAAAGCCCATTAGCCGCGGGTAAAAGCAATTTTATTATATATTATTTTATACGCTTAATGTATTAAGTTTTATGTTCATTATTTACATTATTTTAGTACGTCTGCCAAATCATGCAGTTACATAATTTTATGAACAATAAAACTGTTACCCTAATAAAACTGTGGACTCTATCTCCAGTTACTGCAACCAAACACAGCTCTTTATCATTTGTACGTCAGTTGGTGTCACTTAAAAATATACACCTCAGTTGCAGTGGACCACACGAGTTGCAGTGGGCAACGTAACATAAAACTCATCATCGTCTACTGTCTACAGCATTACAACTAAATAAAAATCAATCAGGAACAATTCACGCACAGTCCCGCGAACACACTCCTCTAATAATTGAAAAACTCGTTAATCTCTTTGATCGGATAAAATTAAAATTACAAAAATTCAGGTATACGCTAATATTAATCGAGAAAAGAATTGAGCAACCGAATCAAAACGCCTAATTTTAAGCACACTAACATAACGAAGTATTAACAGTGAACTTATAGGTAAGCATAGCGTAAAATTGAATCAAACAAAAATTCTCGCGTGTCAAAGCTTAGGGCGAAGCGAGAGCATAAATAATTCTGAACATGAACACAACGCCAGCGGTGTCTTGAAATTTTAAATAGTACTTTGCAGTTAAGGCATCCCTAAGGGTCGTGATGGACAAGTCGCGTAATTTGTCTTTCTTATTTCGTTCCTTTTCTAGGGTTCCGTACCCAAAGGGTAAAACCATTACTAAGACTCCGCTGCCTGTACGTCTGTCTGTCCGTCTATCACCAGGCCGTATCTCATGAACCGTGATAGTTAGACGGTTGAATTTTTTCACGGATGATGTACATCTGTTGCCGCTATAATAAAAATACTAAAAAACAGACATGATTCTTTTGCCGTGTTAATAGATAACGCTAGGGAACCTTTCGTGCGCGAGTCCGACTCGCAATTGGCCGTTTTTTTTTTATTATACACGTCTCTTATTCATACTGACAAGAAGTGTCTTTAAATGCGACTGTGATAGGGCTAAACAGCAGCTTTGTCTGTTACACGAACAGTTTGGCTCTTCCCAAGAAATACCTCGTATAAGAACGGCGTGAATAGTGACATGTATATATTTTCGCGTTAAATCTGAAGAGTGAGGTAACCGGGTCCTACTTTTTTAATGTCGGAACACCGCCAATCTGACGTTGTAGATGTCCATGAGTAGCGGTAATCACTTAACATCGAGTGAACCGCCTGCTGACTTGGCAACTTTTAACATAAAAAAAAATGTTTTCGAAAAAGTCTACGAAACATACTAGATTTATTCAATAATTTATCAACGTAATGGACACGTTACCTTTAAAGTAAATGGAAAAGTGGGCAATCACGTCACAAGGGCACGCCGCATACTAGGAGAACATTAAGATACCATAAAAGCTT